AAAACAGTAGAATAAAATAATACAATAGCAATAAGTGCCCATACACATAACAGTTTAAATGGGTCATAGCCCCTGGAATTCATGCAAGGTACAACATGCTCCATCAAGAAAACACACATCTTCATAATTGGAGACATGGTGGGTAGTCAGTTGTATAAAAGAAAATTTTAAGATGATGAACCTGCTAAATGACAAATAGTACTTAGTACTGCTTTAATGGTATGCCAGTGTGTTCTAAAACTGTTTAAATTGCCATCATATTTGTGAATAAGCTGTACTGAATACAATGTTCTGTACATTATTAATCATCAAAATCTCAACACTGTATAAAACACACAAGACCTGTCATAAGTACCTTTGTCATGATTGCAATTATTACCAACATGCCATTGCCACAGCAACTGATTTCTTTTCCTCACCATCCTGATTCTTTATTTTGATTTATTAACCAAGATTAGAGCCAGTTTGGTGTAGTGGTTCGCACCAGGTTGGAAACTGGGATACTGTGAGTTCTAGTCCTGCCTGAGGCACAAAGCCAGCTGGATGACTGACCTTGGACCAATCACTCTCTTTCAGCTGGAGGAGGAAGGCAATGGCAAACCACTTCCAAAAAATATTGCCAAGAAAACTGCAGGGACTTGTCCAGGAAGTTGCCAGGAGTCAAAAACTGACTCAAAGGCAAAAAAAGCAACAACAACCCAAAATTAAGCTAGAATTTGAAGTACACAATGGGAAGAGATAAGGAGAAGAGCAAGAGAGTAGCATAAAGCTATAACTACATAAATTGTCACTGGAAAATTATCTAAGTGCAGCCATTCAGTCTCACACTATAAAGACCAAACAGTGAACGGTTTGCTTTTATTACTAACATATAATGCTGCAGCTTCACATATGCTGTTTTCCAATACAATAAACATTCAAAACACATAATTCTGCTTCCGTGCATTTTGTTAATTTCGCCCAACCCAGTTTTATAAAAATAAACTTGCTTTCCCTTGCTTTCTTTTTTGAAAAAAAACCCAACAAACTTTTACCCAGTTGGACCCTCTAAAACATCTCATAGTCTCTAGAGCACAGTTCCCCAAAGTGGTCACTATTGACCCCTAAGGGCCAATGGGATTATCCACTATTATTATTAGTAGTAGTACTATTAGTTAATAATTTATTAAACTATTTTCATATAATAAATGTTTGGGGGTCGCTGAACAGTCTGAAACTTCATGAAGGGGTCAATGAGCTGAAGAATTTGGGGACCCCTGGTCTAGAGTGCTGTTTTTAGCAATCACGTGCTACAGTAAACACTCATGGTTTCCACACGCATGCTGCTCCTACAGCTTTCTGAAGGCCTTCCCATCCCAAGCCGCGAACGGTCTATTACACCAACAGCAGGTATTCAGTTATGCTGGAGCTTCCCTGTTCCACAGGAAGTCGTATCACCTGACAGCTCCCAGGCACGCACACACCTACACTTGTCACACCACCGACACCACCGCACAAGACTTCACAAAGGCAGGATTAATACAGGCTCAGCCCGCACGGGGAATTTTCGAGAGGCCCGTTCCTTCGGGGTTGACACACGCAGCCACCCGTTCCAGTGCTAGGTTAGCACCCATGCGCGTGAGGGGCCCTGCGCGTGTCCTGCCGTTCCCGCAAAGAAGAGCTCTTTCCCGGCGCCCTCAGGAAGCAACCCCGGGCGACCGAAAGGGGGGAA